ATTCCCTGAGCACCTGGGGCATGGGGTAGGGTACCAGAACCGAAGAATGATACAGTCATGCAGTTATTGGAGCTGGGGTAGCAGACAGAGCTGTCAGAAGAGAACATTAGAGCAGGTACTAGGGCTTAGGAACAAAGCAAGCAGGACCAAGGTCAGCAACAAGGCTAGCTTAAGATTCAAGATGAAGCTTCCCTGCAGTTGACCTTGGGCTCCAGGGAGCCCCTGACCATGGAGGGAGGGTACTGTTGGCTGAGCATCTTAAGCAGGCATAGAGAGCCATGCAGTCGGGGTTCACCGTGACTTTCCTTTTACTGTCCTCCTTCTTCATACTGCAAAGCCACCCCTGCAGCATGAGAAAACCTCAATGCATGATGAGAGGACATTACCTGCATCATTGTCCCCAGACTCCCAGCCCCAAGAGTTATTGACTTTTCCAACCAGAATTCTCTAGGATTCCACAGTGTCCTTCGGTATTTAGTCTCCCTTCCTCAGGTCTGCCCTCGCCCTACCTGGAGAGGTTTGCCTGCAGCATCCACTCCCAATTCAAGCTTTTCTGAACTCTCTCTGACCACATGGAAGCCCACCTCAGACTGTGACTTCTCTTCAAGAGCCTCTGTCGTCTCCCCTCTACCTGCCCCGGTCAGAAGTCCATTCCTTACGCCCACCGCTATTCACACAAGGGCACCTGAAACTCACGTCACCTGATAGACATGTGCTCCTTAGGAAAAACAGACTACAAGCCAATGCAACTTGGTTAGAGAACGGGCAGTGTGCTCATACTCCCTTAAACTCCTCACTTATTTCGCAGTTCATGACTTCTCATTTGTTACTATTGCTGCTTTTACACACCCTCGCAAAACAGACATTTCTTTTGGGACAACCAAGCCTAAAATGCCACTGTACAATGCCTTATCTGCAATTCTCAAATTCCCAAATCTCTGAAAATCGGGAGGTGAATTTTTGTTTGTTAGTATGTTTTTGCAAGTATAGTGCCAAAATTCACCTAGTGACAAAAACCAGACCTAAACTGACATGCAGCTATTTTATCCTCACACCCACGTAGTGTGAACATTCATATATTTTACTGCAGAAATATTAATGTGGCTGCTTATGAGATATTGCCCCAAACCTCGCAAGGGATGTTTCAAAATATATGGTACCTTCCGAATTCTAAAACACCTCTGGCTTCAAGCCGGGAGGAGCTGTACCGAATTTTCTTCTGCAGCTGATCTGTTGTTACAGACGCATCTCTGAGATCTGAGATTCCCTGGCCTTTCCTCTCCATCTGGAAAGCGAGAAGACAGCTAAGTGGAAACCAAGGATAGCGTGTCTTCTGATTTGAAGGATGAGGGGTTGACTGTGACTCAGCGATTCGTGGAGCCCCTCTGAGCCTGGACGATAGGAGAGAGCTGGTTCCTGAGGGCCCTGCTCCAACAGGCTTCTGGGATGACTGAATGACACACACAAAATGTCTTGAGTTTTTAGAAAATGAAGAGCTACATAACCTTTTTAGAATTGTTTTTGAAGAATAAATATGTTTGCCCTGGCCAGTTTGGCTCAGCGGTTAGAGCATCGGCCTGCGGTCCGGAGAGACCCGGGTTCGGTTCCCGCTAAGGGCATGTACCTCAGTTGCAGTTTGTCCCCGGCCCTGGGTGGGTTGTGCGGGTGGCAGCCACTCAATGTGTCTCTTTCACGTCGATGTTTCTCTCTCTCCCTCTCTCTCCCTCCCACTCTATCTGAACAAAAAATAGAAAGGTGTCCTCAGGTGAGGATAAAAAAAAAAAAAGAATAAATATGTTTAACTGGAATAAATTAATCAGCAAACACTGTGTGTTCCCTCGGTGCCCAGTTTCACGCTGGGTTCTATGAGGTAGTCACATGTAAGGTACAAACTCCAGACTGAAACTGGCTTTCATTCTGATAGGAAGGCCAAGTGTTCTGGGTAAGAAACAACTGGAGAGAAAACAGGACAATGTGCGTAACAGAGCTAAGATACTGCAGACCTGCAAGAGAGCTGGAAAGGCAAAGCTCTCCGGCTAGAAGTTTTGAAAAGTAGTGTGAGAGGTGAGACTTAGTTTGGTTATCAAAAGATGAAAAAACATTTCAGGCGTATGTCCAAGAATCAAAATGGTCTGACTTCACAAGAGTGAAAAAGGCCGAAGTCAAAATATTGGAAGGAGACTGAACACGATGATGGGGGTAAGGAGTGTTGAAAACATGCGTGTGTTCCTGCTTGGGCTGCCGGAACAGACCACCACCCTCTGTCCTCACACGTCTTTTCTTTTCTGCGTGCACACACAGAGGGAGATCCCCAGTGCCGCTTTCTTTTCTTACGAGGCTTACACTAATCCTGAGGATTAGGGTCTTACCCTTTTGATCTCATTTAAACTTAATTGACTCCTTAAAGGCCCTATTTCCAAATACGGTTACGTTGGAAGTTAAGGCTTCAACATATACATTTGGGGGTGGGGGACACAATTCAGTCTATAAAGTGTTCATGTGCCCTGAGAAAGCAGTATGTATCTGTGCAATTGTGAGGGTAAGGTGTCTACCATGACATGGGCAGGGCAAGAGCTTTGAGCGGACACAGACATGAACTGAGCACTTGGACGTGGAGGACATTAGAGAAATTAGAAATTATAGGATCAGGACAGCCTGGCCCACTGGCTTAACCTTCACAAATTCAAGTGCAGAAACCAGACTGCATTTCCTGGAGAACTTCCTGGAGAGAATGTCTCCGTCATTTCCTGCATTTCTCTGTCCTTCCCCAGCACCTCTGGTCTGTTGCACCCTTACTTGGTTAGCTGCCGGAAAGTGTGAGATCATTACAGAACTGTTTTGTGCAGAGAGCCTGTTCACATCTGGATTGCTAATGCTGATAATTAACGCTGGTTACTACATCTCAGGTTTAGGTGAGGTGAGGCTCCACAGCTGGGGCTGCTGCTCACAGCTTCACCCGCAGAAAGAAAGGCGAGAACAAAAACCAAGAAAGGTGTGCTTAGATGCTTGGGATTTCGTGAACCTGGTTAATTACCAGTCACTTGCTGTCTCCCTGAGTTGGAGTTTCTGGGTAAGGAACGCTCATAGATCAGACAGAACATGACAACCTGCAACTTATTTTTACACTAAGAGAGTGGTGGGGATCAAGATGCAGAGGCAAGTGTGGAGATGGTCTCTCAGGTGTCACGGCCATCATCATGGCCATCATCACGTGACTCAGATGCCCTCAGGCAGGTGGTGACATGATGCAGCAGGGTGCAGAGCAACTGAACTCCTTACGGAGAGGGCTGGGAGCCAGGTGTGCCCTTAGTGCTGAGTCTGTTTGCTGCTAGGTGAAGAGTCTTAATCTGGGGTCTCAGGTTAAGTTTTAAAGGATCCATAAACCCCTGGAAATTGTATGTGAGTATATGATTGAGCATTATTTTTTCTGAGAAGCAGACTCATAACATTAATCAGATTCTTAAAAGGCTCAAAAGGGTTCTGTGGTCCCCAAAAGGAGGGTGATTATAAACGACTGCCTTAGACCCCTAGAGAAACAGGTTTACATTAAGCAGAGAGAGCCCCAAGACAGACTCAGGATCCCTAACGGCCCTGAAATTATACTTGAGGGGTGTGTGTGTTGTCTAAAGAAAAGATTTAATAGTTTTTGCCAGATTCTCAAAAGGGCCCATACCTTCAAAGGGTTAAGAACCTGAGGTATATCCAGCTGCCCCCCACCCCCATCCCAACAAACCAGAATATTGCCTACGCTTACTTAGCTACTTCTTTCCAGAGGACAATCACAGAGACCTGAAAACAGGGCCCACAGTAGGCCCTGAAGGCTCTGTGACCAGCTGGCTGGCAGGGGCCCTTCATAAAACAATACATGGGAGTCGAGAGGGAAGTGCCCTGATGCCAGGGTGCTGATGACAAAGCCATCAGTAGATGAGAAAACAGTCCTAGTTCCCTCTCTGATGGTTTATTACCAGGTCTTTCTCTTTCAAAGGTCTGTCCATGCCCCAACTTTCAGAAACCCAAAGACCTTACTTATGGAAGCACAAAATTCACTCAGTAAACCCCTACTGAGAGCCTACTATGTGCAGGCCCTATTCGAGGCGCAAATAAGGTAATTAAGAGTGTTTTCGACCTCGGCTCGTTTCCTGCCCGGCACACGGGTATTTGGGGCACTGCTGACCAAGAGCGTCCTTCCCAAGCTGAGCCCCCGCGGCCCCGGGTGCTGAGAGGCTGAGGCCATCCTGCCCACCGCAGCGGGCTTGGGGTGGGGGTGGGGGCAGCAGTACCTGCGAGCAAAGCGGTGAGGGAGGCTGGAAGGACGCAGGGGCCAGAGCGGGTGGGCCGGGCTCAGCCCTGGAGTGGCTGGGGCAGGAGGTGACGGGTGCGGTGGGGGCACAGCCGGCGGGCGGGCGGGGGACTAGGGGAGGAGACGCTGCCCGCGGACGTCGCCGCCGCCGCCGCGCCAGATCTCCGAGCTGAGCTCGCCCGCTCCCCGCCCTCTGGGGCCGTCGCGAAGCTCCGCTCTCCATACTGAGCAGTCCCCGGGAGGCGCTCGGACACGTTCCCAGCCGGATAAAGATCGGCTCGGCGCTCGCTCCGCAGCGCGAAACCTCGCCATCTGCGCGGCTCGCGCGGCCGCTCCGGCCGGGCCGGGAGACGCCAGGTCGCTCCCTGGGGGGAACGCGAAGGCAGCGCCGCTGCTCCGGCCGCCACCCTCGGCCCTGCGCTCTGGGGTGGCCGCGGGGCCCCGGGGCTCGCCGCCCTTCCTTCCCTTCCCCCTTGCCTTCCTTCCCAGCGCTTCATCCCGAGGGACCCCTGCTTCCCGCCGGCCCGGGGCCCCCAGTGTCCTGCCAGGCACCCTCGCCCTCCTTGCCAGGCCCCGCTGCCTCCTGAAGGTTACGCGCCGCAGGGGCAGGGCGCAGGGGACGCCCGCCCTCGCTGCCGCCTGCGCCGCCGCCCACCCCAGCGCCCGCCGCGCGGGGCCGGGCCAGGCCGGCCGTGCTGCTGGCTGCTGCCACCGCAATCCCGACTCCTAAATCAGCGAGAGGAGGCGCGCCCTCCCCCACCCCGCTCCCCGTGCTCCCCTGGCCGCGATTGGCCGCGCGGTCGCCCCCCACCCACGGGCCCCGAGCTCCAGCCGCGGCGCCATTGGCTGCGGGGCTCCGCCAGCCTTTACATAAGCCCGGGCGCGCTCGAGTGGAGTTGTATAAAGCGGGCGAGCGGCGTCGGGGCGGGAGGCTCGAGGCCAGCCCGGGACCGGGGCTGGGAGCTGGAAGGCGGCGGCGACAGAGGCGGCAGCGAACGCCCGCGCTCCGACGCCCCGAGGCGGTGGGGCTGCGAGAGCCCGAAGATGACTCCCCGTGCTGACCCCGGCGTGAGTACCCGCTCCGGTGCCCCCACCCCCTCAGGCGGAGAAAGTTTCTCCCTCCCAAGCTCCCCTCCCGCTCTGCCCGCAGCGGTGGCGGGGATGCCGCCCGGAACCAGGGAAGACAGAGACCGCCAAGGTGGCAGAGGCTTTGCTTCCAACTTGCCAAGAGGCTCAGGACGACTGGCGCACAGAGCCTCCCCCGCGGGCTGTGGGCGAGGCGGGAATCGGGCCGGAGGTGATGGAGAGGTGGAAGCGGAGGTGTGCGGGGCGACAGCCCTCACAACTGGGGGCACACTGGAAGTCAGCTGTTTGGGGCGGGGGCGCCGGGGCTGCGAGGGGGCGGAGCAGATGAGGAGGGTTGTGCTGGGGGTGTTGAGGAGTCACCCAGCCAGGCAGGATCAGCTCTGGGCCGGGAAAGCTACGGTGTCTAAGCTTCCAGAATGGGAAAGAGCCCTGGGGGGCTGGCGCTTCTCCCCCGGGGAAGCCAGTCTCCCCAGCACAGCTCCGAGATACAGCCCGCGCAGCGTAGCTGATAGCTGCCTTTGCTGGACAGAGGTGTGGTCTCCTTGCTTTCAGCCTGTCAGGCAAGCCAGGTTCAGGCATACCAAGGGAGCCGGAGGTCCTCCTTTAGCCCCGTGGGGACACATGGAGGCTTTGATGGGGTGGCAGGCCAGGCTTGGGGGAATGCCCAGCAATGCAGCGCACTTCTTCACAGTACAGTAGTTGGGAGTCCTGGTTAGTCCCAGTTCTACAGAAACCAACTCAAGAATCCAGAGTCATCCCAGCCTGGATGGCAGCCTCGAAGAGTGACTGGGAAATGTTCCTGGGGTTGGGGGGAGATTACGCCCCTTTCTCTGGGGATGACTAATGAATATTGCTGCTGGCGGTGGTAGGGTGTGCACATAGGGTGGCTTCTGGGCGTCCCAGAAGGTGCTTCAGCTCTCCAGACAGGACACATTCTTGAGTCACACTTGAAATATCTTCTGGGATGGGGTGTAGGACTTCCCAAGTGAAGCCATGTGGAAAAGAAGGGAAGAAGACAACTCCGTGATGCTGTCTTGAATCAGGAACGAACTAGTGTCGGAAGAGAAGCGCTACTGACGTTTTTACCCTGATGACTTGGGGTTGGAGACACCCAAGACTGAATTAGAGCGAATTCAGAGCCATACTGTATCTCACTCAGCCATGAGGAAGGGGAGAGGGAGGATGGAAAGTGGGAACATGGCGGTTGTTCCAATGTGGCCTCTGAGGGAGCATTTTCCCTCCCTCTGACTTGATTAAACACATCCTCTGGCAGCAGGTCCTAAAGTTAATTTAAGAGACAACAAAGAGAGTTTAGGGCCTTGATGCTGGCACAGTGGACCAAGATTATAATATTCCGGTTTCCAGTTGTTACTAATGGTCTCTGGAGAAAGTCAAGGGCAGGCTGCTCAATTGGGGTTGTATCTTTCACCTGTACCTCTTCCCTGATCATGGGTGGGTGTCTTGAGCTCCTAGGGCAGCTGCTTTAGCCTGGAGATCTTTTATGGGGGCTATCAACCCATATCCCCAAACCCAGCTCTATCCTCTGCCTGCGGTCAACGTTTTCCTGCTGCAGTTCCCAAGACTTTTTTTCCACTGGGGATTTGTACAGCAAAATACCTGCTTGTTACTCTTTCTTCCCTTCTCTCCCTCTGGGCTGCACCTGGTGTTCTGAAGCCTTCTGCTTATTATCTGGCACCTTGATGTCTGGCTAAGAGGTCCTATCGCTGCACAGGAGCACCCCTGTGAATGTGTGGACCAATGGTCTATGTAAGTCTAAGGAGCGGAACATACAATTTTGGAGAGAGGACCACCTACCAGGAAGGTTGTCCTTTGAAAGAACTGTGACAACCTCCTGTTCTGTCTTCCATACTGCCTGCTAATGTGAATGAAGCTGACCTGTAGGCTCACTGGTGTCCAGTAGGGGGCGCCAAAGGCACCCACCTCAGGACAACTGACTTTCTCACTTCTTGCCCTTCATTGGCCATAGTAATTTAATGCTTTAAGCAAGCTCAGGCCACAGCCCCCAGTGGTCACCTTCATGATTGAAACCCTTCTACCACACGTTTCCTGAACTTCAGGTGGGCCTGTGATCTCAGTCAGGTGCATTGGAGCAAAAGCAAATACAGCATTCCAAGGAAACAGAGCTGGTCCTCAGCCCCATCCACCCTCTGAGATCATTCCTTTGTGCTTGGTGTTGGTGTGTACTTTGAACTCATTAAGAGCTCGTGGAGCCAAAGAACATTAGAACTAGAAGAGAGAAATCTTGAAGAGCATCTTGTCCAACCTCATCTCATCTCTAACACATGCACACACTTAATTTACAGATGACAAAACTGAAGCCCAATTAAGGCAAGTATCTTGCCCAAGGTCACACAGCTATTTGGTGGTAGAGATAAGACTGGATCCTAGGGATCCGTAGTCCTCTACTCCGAGCTCTTTCCATCCCATGGCCTGCTTCTTCTTTACTATAGAAATGGACATGTGTTCCCTGAACAGTAGGTGCTCATAATTGCTGATTGATCAGAAATAGGTAAGTTAATGAATATAGTAATTTGGGGAACTTTCCTTTGAACCTGTTATTTAGAGAGGAGATGAGGAGCAGATAAAGTTCTTGTACTGTACATATACAGGTAATAGAAATTCCTAATTATTCTTTTCCTAATTCTTTCCTCTTTCTCCATTATCTTATCTCATTATTCCAAGTGTTTTTTGTTTTTGTTTTTGTTTTTTTGTTTTTTAAGGCAAAAGCAGTGTGACTCCAGGTTTCTGTGCATACATTTAGGAATCAGAAGTGCCCAGACCCTCACAGTGGTCTTGAACCCGAGGCCTGGAGCTCTTCCTTCCTTTTGCTAAGGTGTGCTGGAGAGGGGTCTCTCTGTCTTGCAGTCACACCACTGCCAGTGGGACCTCCAGTATTCAGATCTGGGCGAAGTGGAGAGTTTCCAACCAGTATTTGCCCATTTCCCCATTCTTGCTACTCCCAGCTCAAGGTCAGAGTGCTAGGATGTTCTATTTTTGCAAAATCCTTGTGTTAGGACTTCTTGGGTAACCTGGAAGATACTACCATTTCCATTGCCCTTTTTCTGTTCTGTGAATCTGGCTGTCGACATCTGAGCTGGGCCTGGGAAGGAGGTTTGCTGAATGGCCTGTGGGCTGCTCCCTCTGTTTCCTCTCCCACCCTGCTTCTTTGCACACTATATAAAGTTGCCCTCAGAGCCTCGGCTGATTGGCAGTGACCCTCAGGAGGAACCAGTGCTGCTACACGAGAATTCCAAGAGGTGGATCCTCTTCTGTCCCTAAGGCTCACCCAGGGGATGCTTGTTGCCAGGGAAAATGCTCATCTCCTTCAGGCTCACAGATAAGTTGGGTCTTTATCTTCAAGAGGAGGAGGGTGGCAGTAAGATAATGTGGACCACCAGAGAGCAACAGTTCCTCCTTTAAAATGGGGTCTGAGAGGCTGTGCTTGAGATCTGCACCAGCTCCAGCTCTAGCTAAAGAATTGTGCCAGCATTTCTAAAGCTTGGTCTGGTTCTGGACAAGGCCAGAGGAATACAATTACATAAAATGCAGCTATAGCACAGGATCTCTGGATTTTTTTTTTTTGAATGGGGGAGAGGATAGAGAGTTTGAGAAGTGGCATTAGACATTGAGAAAACAAGAAGTAGCTTCTTTCATGGGCCCCCCTAGGTAATTGATCCTTACCCCACTCTCACCGGGAAGACAGTCCAGTGTAGTGGAAAGGACGCAGGCTTAGAATCTGGCTCCCCTGCTTACTGGCTTAGAGACCTTAGACGCTCAGCCTCTGCATGTCTTAGTTTCCTCCTCTGCAAAATGGTGAAGCTGGCAACCCTGTGATGAGGGTGGGATAGTGAAGATCAAGGAAAACAGTCTCTAACATGCCTCTGCCCGTGGTTAAATATACAGAGGTATTTGGTTGGGAGAACATATTATTGCAGGATCACTGCAAACCTCACTGGGTCTTGCTTTTCCAAGCACATGAGACTGAGTGTCCAGGTTTGCACATCAGCCTCTGCTCACAGCAGCATTGGGGCTGACGAACAAGGCCTTCTTGGCAGGGCTCCTTCTTGCTTCTTCCATCCTCCACCTTAGGGTTTCATTTTTGGGTTTTGCCATGCTTGGGGAAAATAAATTTTACAAGTCCCAGGATAATTCTGAATGTGATGGAAGGCCCTGAGCTATTGATTCCTAAGGAAGGATCTTTGTGCTGGGAGAAGCCTTCCTCGGAGCCCAGTGATTTAAGAGTGCTGACAAATCCGTGCTCACCGAGCCTCCTGCAGGCTGCAGATACAGGCTTCCAGGCCAGCTGGGGCTCTGCGAGGGATTTCTGGGGAGTCTGGCTGGTTGTTGAGGGGACATAAACCTGTGAACTCTCCTTAGGAGAAAGTATGAAATCAATTGGTTCATTATCACACCATACACACCCTGGACCACTCAGGGCATTTAAGAAATGAGAAGCAGCAAAAGGCTGGGCGATTGTGTTTAAAAGGTGTGCATGAAGGTGTGAAGAGGTTGGGGAAGAGAAAGGGACCGGAAGATCTTTTTCCACTGCATCACTCACGATCTTGACCTTACTGAAGTCCTTGGGCAGTGACTGTAGGGGTTATTCTGCATCCCAGAAATTTGGCAATTTCTGGAGACATATTTGTTGTCACACTTGGGGTAGGGAAGGCTGCTGGCATGTAGTGGGTAGAAGTCAGGAATGAGGCTAAACCTCCCACAATGCACAGGACTTCCCCCCGACAAAGAACTATCTGGTCTAAGAGGCCAGTAGTGCCGAGGTTGGGAAACCCTAGACTAGAAGAGCATGCAGCATAGAATCAGAGCCGTGAGAGGTGGGAAGGGTTTGAGAAGTATTCTCATCCAACTGTCCCACTTCACCGCTGAGGACCATGGGATCCAGAGAGGTGAAGACACCAGCCAGGGTCACACAGCAAGCAAGTGGCAAAGCTGGTCTGGAACTT